AGTAATTTGTTATTGACATTTTAGCAGTTGTTTATCAAAATTTATTTGGGTCTCCAAATTTCAATTCCCTCTGTACCAGAAACAGCCAGTACTTCATTTGAATAATCAATCTGTGGAGTGAAATAAATTGTAGGAAGATATTTTATATAAATCAATGTTTTCTTGAATACTTACACTAGCTATTTCGCCATAGTTAGAGTCTAAAGTAACAAGGTGTCGCGGAGGATCTGTGGGAGTAGCGATTCTAACTGTCCCATCCGTGGAACTGGTGATCAAACATCCTGGTGCAACATGTACACCACTAATAGCTTTTCTATGTCCAGTGGGGTACCACTTCACCACTTTAAAATCTTTTTTTGGATCCAGTATGTGCAAATATGACCTATTGTCTCCTACATAAACTATGTCTTTTTGCATAAATATACGCATGGGGAATCTTGTGTGCGAAATCTGTAATATATTCGTGTAAATCATTAAATTACTCTTGCCTAAGATGATTTCTTTAAATTCATATCTTACAGTAATGTTGTTTATAGTCTTTCTTGCTCTTTGATCCCATACAGATACTGTCTTGTCTTCACTGGCAGATAGAATAAACTGGGAGTTCATGGCCAATGTAACAACAGCCATTTTATGCGGTTCGTACCTTGCAATCGGGCTGTAACCCCTTCTTGCGTCGTATACTAATACACTTTTACAAGATGATCCTGTAGCGAAGAGGTCTAAATCCGGGCACGATGTGATACACAATAGGGCGCCAGTGACGATCCTAAAAATATTCATTGCTCATGTAAAACGTTATAATCTTCAAGAACAATACATCTCTTCGCATAATGATTTCTGGCAGAGCGAACGAAAGCATGCAAAAAGTGCTAAGCCGTTTTCCTGCATAATTTCGATTTGATTTAAGAAGCTTTAAAAAATAGTACCTGCCGTTTAGCAATAATAATGTTCTAATAGTATATTATTAGACAGCTATTTGTTAAAAACAAACACTCATGCCTTCCTCGCTCGACCTTTCCATAACGAGAGCAGCGAAAATAACCACATTAGTTTTCATGTACATGTCATAAGTCATGAACTTGACAAGACCAGTGTTTGTAAGTCTCCACGCTTTAACACTTTGGTCCCAACCGCAACTGTAAACTATATTATCTATTGATGTTAAGTCCCAAATCCATCCATCGTGAGCTAAGTCTACCCGTGTAACATTTTCTTTTTCACTGCCTTCTCCAGGAAGCTTCCAACATACTAAAGATCGATCTCTTGCTCCAGATATACAAATACTTCCATTCTACATACAAAGAAATCAATAATTATTTACCATACAATCATAGGAATCATATAAAATAGCCTACTGACCTGCATTAATAGCAAACCATCAATAGTACTATACTGTACATTGCTAAGAGACAGTTTTTCTATGGAATCTTCTTTCCTCCATAATGAAGTTTGTTTTTCCAATGCGACACAGGATAACTTCCAAAACAGTTCATTATCTTCATCTGAAAAAAAAAGTAAATAATACAGTTCAATCAGAAGTACAAACATTATTGATACTATTAGTAAGAATTATCAATGTGTACATTCTAAGTAGTGGTGTGAGATTAGATTTCTTGTTAAATTTCTGGAAAGTAGATAAATATATTTGATACATAAAACATGTTAAAGGATGTCTAATTATTTTGTACTATAATAGATGGAATTTTATTTATTTACAGAATAATTGGTCATGCAAAGCTCGAGGTGCTATCAATTTGAGCTAACCAGGAGACAAAATTGGGTAATCCGTATATGGACACATGTGGCTAATTCTCACTTTCCATAGTGAGTCGTCCTTTAAAACATCATTAAATTGTTTACAAACTAAGCTCAAACCATGTACTAAGGTAGATGCATCTAGGAAGGAGCAGATATGGAGAAATATCTGAAATAATAATAATACAGTCATGTTAATTTTATTTTGTCATGACTTTCTAAAGAAAAACATGAATTATTTTAAAATACTTGTACTTGAATTCATATATTATTTTATTAAAAATATGACGACTAAAATTGCAATGCGTATAAAACTATTTAAAAAATTTTTTAAATGGACTCATCATCATATGATTGAATGTGCTATATAAAAAATGGCGACCGTGTTCCACTGACGTTGCGATGAAATTCTCGAGATGTTCTACTTGCTTTAATAGTATAACGTTACAGTTCACTGCCTACAGAGTTTATTCAACTTCATACTTTTACTTTGGATATATTTCTTCGTTTATTGTTCATGAAAACGTTAATCATACGAATGCGCTACAACTTCAATGACAGATATTCCATTGTTTGTAAACACGTAACATTGTACTTACTGTATCTATAAATCTACTTTGGTGATTGAATAGAATCGGTAAAATTTCTTAAAAATTAAAACCGGTGAAAGTTAATTGAATAAACTTTGATATTAGAAGCTTCTTGACAGGTATTGAAGTATAATATACTGTTAGTTCTATTTGTGCAATCGATAAAACTTTCACACGTACGTATTAGTAAATAATGAAAAGAATTGACAATACAAACCTCGATTGGAAGATCCAATAAAGACAATCGAAAGTCAGTTTGATCATCTTCAACTTGATCACAACTTTGTCCTTCATCACACATTTTAATCGAGGATGGCCAATATCGAATGTTATACTTTTAAACAATATCATTCAATTTACACTTAAGCGATACGATGATTCAACGTGCAGTAAGAATGATAAGAGATCACTGTTGTTTTTTTACTGACGTTATTATTTACTGTTTTGGTCCTCGTGCGCGATGCGGCCTTGCATGGGCACATGACTCACTTACGATCTCCGTTTAGCGCACTTGAGGACCAACTCCCAAGTAGCAGGGCTGACAACAAGAGCTACATAAAATTTGAAATAAATGTACAATTCGAAATGCAATAAATTTTAATCGAAATAGACTTTTATTTCAATTATACAATAATAAGAAAGTAAATAAAGCTAAAGATGTCTTTTTAAATAATAAATCAGTTTATTAAATTATAAATCAATGTGCAACATTGTTTCATATCAGAATAATAGAGCAGGCAATTTGGAATTTTAAAATCAATTCTTTTATCTCACTGGTACAACAATTGACAAAACGTAATTAATAACTATAATACAAAATATATGCTCCTGACACCAGGAAATATAGTTTCATATTCACAATATTACATACTATTTTCAAAGTAACATTTTTTACATTTGTTTTACATACATGGCAATAAGGAGATACCATCATTCATTATGAAGAAGCAATTTTAAGTTAGTCAGTGTATAAAATCTTAAGTACATTGCATTTGGAAGGCAATACTTAAAGAGAAATAAGATAATGATCAGACCAGATTGTACAGCATTATCTTAAAATATTTCTCTCCATATATATTGTGGTAACACTTGGTTAATATTTATATATTGTCGTTACTATGTTGTTTATTTATCTCTGATTACAGCAACTTTATTCGTAAATGCAAACACTTGTGTACAAATACAAAAATATATTTTTGAACAAAATATATCTGGGTATCTCACTTTTTAATACAATGGTATTATCATGATTTGTAATAATTACATTTTTGTACACAAATGAATGTATTAAGTAGACGATTTGTCAACAATGTTATAGCAATCACCAGTTTTCGTACAAAGTATACAAAGATATCATAACTGCAATATGATTTCATGGATTACAATTGAATGTTTTGAAATAATTTGTAAAGTTAATTATCAAAAATGAAAATATAGCCCCACTTGCAGACCCTATTTGCATAAATGCACCTGCCCTTAAGAGCATTGCTGGTAGCATTGTATTTTTAAGTACTGATACAATGGTCAGTTTTAAGTAGGAAATAAAAGCTACCAGACTTGTCCATGCTATCACAATTAGAAAAACACCCAGTGTTGTTTCTTGCAATGGTGGATCAGGTGACATTAATGCTAAATATGTAACATAACTTCCAATAGCTAAGCATACTATAGATAAATAAGTAATATGTTTTACGTCAGATACCACAAACCAGTATGCTAATAAACAAACTAATGGATTTGCAAACTGGGCAAATGTAACTGACAATTTGTATGCTATGTTTCCATAAGGTAAGCAAGAGTAAGACTGTATGCTAGGAAAAAATCCGTTGCTGAAAAAGCAGCAAATAGTTAACAGTATAAATAAATAATATTGCATTTGCGGTATCAGGCCGTTCGCATTATTGTTACATAGATCCGAGACCTTGTTAGTTTCTTTTGCGTGGTTTATACTTCGCCTATTGTCCAATTCGTTAGAAATGCATGTAGGTGTTTCGTTAGACAGTGTATCGTCAGACTTATCAACATTTGTTGTACTTTGTACTAATGACGAATACTCTAAAATGATAAACGCAGTTAACGATAAAAACAAGACGATAAAAATAAAAAGAAAATACTCGCTCGAAGAAAATTTTAAATTCATTTTAGAAGAATCTGTAGTATTCTTATTATAAGTTGTACATTCAGAACTATCTGCAACTCCCTGAATTAAGGCAACTATACTTGGCAGTACTCCACTTAATCCTTCACCAATGAAGAATGATACTAAGTAATTTTTCTTAAAATTTCGGAGGTATGGCATAAATAATACAGAACTAAAACAGCCCACTAAAGCATTGAAGAATGTTAAAATAAATAAATTCAAACTATATTCAACTCCATTTATAACTGTCTTCTCAGAATGGAAAAACGTTAGAAAACCCATCGCGCAACTGCCTAAAAACAACAGACATAATATCCACCAAGATTCATTTATCTTCCATTGAAAATGTTGCAAAATCAGATAAAGCAAAGGTCCAACATTTGCAGATTGTACCACCAGCACTAGATAAGATGGTAAAGTCCAACCTTCAGGCGAGGTACTGATAAGCACTGGTAGTTGCACATATATCCCATTGATACCAATCCAAGTAGATATACCAAATATAGTTATAAGAAGATGTACAATGATGCTACTTTTTCTCTTGCGTCTTTCTGAACCTTGCAAAACATTTGTCATGTTGCCATTTATATGTAAAGAAAAACGAAACGTGGACTTGTTCCTGAATAATAATTAAGAAGAAATTGAATGTACAATTAAATAAATTTGTCTTTTAAGAATTACACGTATAACCAATAATACTCTCACCTAAGTATGTTTACAAAGTTATTTAAGTGATATAATTTTCAAGACAATCTCACTAACAGTATCACTTCATATTATGCCTATGCATGTAATAATTCTCGAGGTACTAAATTGTTGATTGTAGTTCTACTACATAGTACACTCTTGCCAGAGAAACTGATGTGATGAAATCGTATTACCTATGTCTTCAACTGTTGCTTAATCTGTACAATAAAATTTATCAGATAAAATACAAAGTTTGACTAACTCAAATTGACAAAATGACAGTTAAATTTACAATGATATATGGTTACATACTTTGTAGCTAGATATAAATTCACATAATCGAAATTTTGATTAAACTGCTACAGAACTGATGACTGCAAAACACTAGTGTTTCTTTAGACATGTATACACATGGCAAAATTGCACATTTTCAGCTGAGACATTTGAAAATATAATTTATAATTATGTATAAAATATTTATGTTTAAATATATAAAGCCTTTTTAAGTCAATTTTCTACTAAATCAAATTGAATTTCTCTACACTATTGATTTAAAATTTAAGTAAAAATGCATTATATATGTATGCATATATCTTGAATTTAGTACTATTTCTGTATATTTTTTTATAAGTTACTTTTTACCCTGATGTCTTCTATTGTACGCAATTATAATACCAATAATGTATGTATATAAGCCAACACTGTACTTGAAATGAATTTATTAGAACTAAATCCACCTATGTTTATGTAAGTCAACTATTTCTCACTATACTGTTTCTTTCCTTTACACAATACTCACTAACATCAGAAACCAAAAGCAGTGACAATGTTTTATCTTTTCAACTAACTGTTCAGAATTCTTTGCATAATTATGTAACATTTATATCATTAAATTGTTCAGTTATCATACAAGCTGTCAGTGTCCGTCAAGTACTGAACATGGAGAATAAGAATGAAATACCTTTACATGATTAACCAAGACAAATGTAGCTACTGCTCCAATTAATGAGCCAACTTGTGTTGCCACACCAGTGTAATACAGACCTCTGCCTGGATCAGGTCTGAATAATGTAGTAATACTCAATTTTATGAATCCTATTAAACCATTAATTAAAATCCAAGATAACACAACTAAAAATTCACCAACCCATGAATTCTGTAAAGGTGGGGTAGGTGATGCAGCGGCTAAAAAGCACACAAAACCAGACAGTAATAAAAGAACAGTCGTTAAAACACTAAGAAGGCTTACTTTTGGTACTTTAATAACAAAACCTAAACACATTGCTAATGGTCCAGCCATTGAAGACAATGTAACAGTTAAATGGTATGCAACATTTCCATATGGTAAACAAGAATACGATTGAATACTTGGTAATGTACCATTACCTAAGAAACAAACAAGTGCCATCATAACTAATAAGTATGAGTACACCTGTCTAGACATCGTCCAACCAGAGTTTGTTTTATAACTTGGTGGTGCTCTTGTGTCTGTTGGTAATGTCTCCATGCTTCCTGGCGGCTTAACACGCTCTCCAATAGCAACAGACAGGTTATTTAATCCTAAGAAGGACAAATAACTCAGGAACAATAAGCTACCAATGAAAATAAAGAATGCTTGACACGAAAATCTAGGTTCTGGATAGACAGAGGAAAATTTCAGATTCAGTGAGTCTGATGTAGTAGTGTTCATGCACTCTGGATTTCCACCAACACCTTGGATTAATGCTACCACGCTAGGTACAAATCCACTAAGTCCTTCTCCTACAAGATACGATATCAAATAAATTTCTCTGTAGTTCCTCATATAAGGCATGAATAGAACTGAACTCGTACATCCAACAAAAGCCGTTACAAACATTAGTGACAAAAGGGCAGTGGAATGCTCATTGCCAAATATGACTGATGTTTTCTGATATACGAAAGCCAATATAAAAGTGGCTAACGATGCTGCCGCTAACAGCATATAAGTAATATATTTATCACATGCCCACGCACTATACCTGTAATATAAAATCACATTTATATCACTACTATTATAAAATTCATAAATTTTATATTATATCCAATACTTACTTTATATATAACGTGTAAAGTATTGGTCCCAAGTTGGCAAATTGTACTAATATTACCATGTGTGCTGGAAGACGCCATCCTTCAGGAGCATTATTTACTAGAAGAGGTAGTTGAACATATATACCGTTGACACCAATCCATGCACCAAGACCAAACATTAGTGCAAACAGGTCAACCAGCAACCTTCTGTTGCTTAATCTTTGACTTAACATTTTTGGTGCTTTTTCATGTATTAACAGTGGATCTACATAGGTTGACCGACCTTGTCGGTAAGTTTTATCCTGTTCTTTCGCCGTTTTTCTTTTTTGTTGAAATAAAAATTGGCAAATGATACACCTTAAACAAGGTAATGCGGTAGGCAGTAAAAACGTATGTCAAACGTTCCTTCCTTATATTCACTATTCTTCGAATTGTCTTACGCAACGACAGTCTAATTAAAATATGTGTCAAAAGGAAAAAAGTGTATTTTCTTTGATATATCAGCTATCTAGATAATTATTCAATACTGCTTCGGTGTTGCAACACAGCACTTGTAGTTGGTGTTTCTTCTTTCCACGTAGGCACTTTACGGGTTTATTCATCTGGCTCAAACACGTTCCGTATTTATTTAACAGCGTTTCAAGACATTTTTCTGCCGTTTTCTTGCGTCAAACATAACCTATCAAACGTTACGGGACATAAGATAACCCTCAACGAATTCAACGAATTCCGTGGACGCGCATGTACGTTTGAAATTCGCGGCTGCGTGTACTAGATTAACGGGAAACCGTTAGAAACAACATGAAACTACGACACGACGACAACGTACATGCAAATTGTATGACGGTTGCCACACAATTGCCGTTTCCGATGATTAATCGTGACTCGGAACTGTTTCGTAAGTAAATACTGAAATTGTTACCGTTTTAGTTTCTTTGACGGGGTTATCAATATATTGGCAGATATATCGGGCTATACGTAATTAAACGACGATCCTACTCAATCCCAATCGAGAAGACGAGCACATTGTCCTATTTAATAAAGTTGATTGCCATGTGACTTTCTATACCAGCTCTAATTGTTACACAGTTTAATCCACGTCTTTAACGGATTCGTTGCGGTTCTTGTGGTATCTATCTTTTTCAATGGATCAAGATAATATTTTTTATTTCGCGGGTGCAGTGTAAAGTAATTTATCACTATCTACGTTCACTCTGACGAGTGCAATAATTTGCACGCTGAATTTTTTGCTGACCTATTCAACGGTTTCATATTTCATCGATAAATGTAGCATTGAAGAAGGTAACGATTCATTTGCTTTAAATGCTTGATAGAACGATAGATCTGGTAGAAGTGCTAATGCGAATAATATGAGAAAATAAATGCAACAATATTTAATTAAATTCTCAATTTATTCTGAACTACTCAAAGCCTCTAATAAAAAAAATAATACTATATTTATTCAACTTTCTAGAACAACAAAGAAAGGTTTGAGACATAAAAATAAAATCGCGAGCTACTTCAAACGGATATTCATAATTGACTTTGAAAAAAAAACCATTTATTGACTTTCTTTATTGTGTGTGTTCGGTAGTCCGTTACAGAACATTCCTGTTGAAATGGTAGTGGTGAAAGTTTCGACGAAGTGTAACGTGAATCAACGTCGGATTAACTTACAAAACACATAACAGCCCGACGCGGTACACATACAGTACATAAGTCACTATATAATTGAATGTAAACATTTATTTATTGAGTTACAAGTGGATAGGGGAGGAAAAAGTAAGAACCACCATCAATTGAATATAGCAAGAACTTTATAAAAGACGAGGCAGACTCACAGATGGTTTAAGTACATTAGTATATATAATATATAATATATCCTCAAAACTCTTTGGGAAACATGTGACGGTTGCGATCGCATATATTTTTTTGTTTTGTTTGTTTCTTCTGAATAGATCACACGGATGAAAAGAGGGGGTCTGTCGTTTGCGTTAAGTAGGTGCGTTACATCGTGCGTAAAAAGTTTACGAACATACATCAATCGAAAAAGAGTCGTCACGAGGGTTAGAAGCTTGAAAAAGGAAACACCGGACTCCCTCTGGTCGTAGGTGCCATTAATTACCGTCAAGGAAGGAACGCATTTGTAGCATCGTCGAATCATGATTGATCGTAAGTCACCGACTTAATCGTACGCGGGATACAAATGACAATAAAATGTTTATATTTCCTTTTCTTTTTCTTGTTTAGTTCTTTCGCAACGTCGAGTCGTTTATCATCGAAGTTTGCGGCGAGGCTACTGCCTTTCCCGTTTCTCTTTCGACTGACGATAAAATAATGGCGGTCGGGCGATACGTCACCGGAAGCGGCGGCGCTCGTACACGAAAGAGGAAGTCCTCGTGTCGATAAGAAAGAACGTGTATGCCCGAACCGGCGTCAAGAACACGGAGAAAACATACTTTGCGATAAAATTCGCCGCGATTCAAATGATCACGAAGTGGTAAATCGTGTCTCGGACGATCGAACTAACGTGGGCGGACGTCACCGTGAAAATAGCTAAAGGGACCGTTTTATTGTTTCATGGTGTCGCCGTCTGCCAGCGCGCATATGATATTACATATTATCTTGTAAACCGTTGAATTTCGTTACTTTTTCTATTTTTTTGTTCGTCCTCTTTCTCTCTTTTTTTGATAGAAACATTCGATGGGAGTGATGGACCGGCTTCGATGATTCGATCGGAATGCCATCGATCGGTTATCATCGTTCGCCAAGCGTCGGATTATGGAATTTCTCCCGAACACGATCGAAGCTAGAAGAAGCGTGAATAGAAGAATCTCTTCGCGCTGTTAATTAACACACTCGCAGCCGGCAATTCTGTCTCGTTCCGCGAAGGATGTAAGAAGACCCGGTGTTACGTCAACGGCTGCGAATGTGTTCGCCATTCAAGTCGCTCGAGGAATGCAGAAGTTATGTAAAATCGCAACGGGAAAGGAAATGGCGGAGCGAGCGTCTGTTTCGCGACCGAATATTCTATCCACTTTATGATATGAATTCTGCAGGGCTGCTCCCCCCGTTCCACCCGTTCGCTGTATGCCGATAGTTATGCCCTCCATATTTCGGATCTCGATTTTAAGGAAAAACCGATAACCCGGAGCCGGAGCGGCGATATTAACGTCCGTCTCCCTCGAACCCTGAAAAGAGTTACAGACGCGGAATATCGATGGACAGAAATTAATTATGCGACGTCTGGAGTGGGGGATAGCAATATCGGGCCTGGCCCGTAGAATCAGGTCTGGGTTAGAGGCCAGATATTTACATAGCCGAACAAAACCCTTTCGTACTTTTATCCGGCCGGATCGAAGCGTTTTAACATCGCACGGCGCTGTTTAAACGTCTGCAGCCCCCGAAATTATTTAGCAACTTTGTTTGACTGACAACGAAAACTTGAAACCGCGAACTATCGGCTAGCGAATCGAGTCTAATGTCTCTTGAACCATCGAATGACGATGTTTAGAAAGATCGGCTCGTTTAGAAGTATTTCAAAGGCATATCTAAAAGGATCGATGAGTAACGGGTGCGACTGGACTTTGGCATGGCCTCTCGCGCAGTCGTCAGAGACGTCTGCCCTTCGAGGGTTAACACGATTCGGAACAGTTCTTCGCGATTTCAAGTGATCGTGGTAATAATCAATTACCTCGAAGGCCAATCTGCTACGAGAGGCTGACGTAAGTAAATGGGATCGCGTGGCGGTTGTCGTTTCGTCTCCCTCCCGTATAAATCTCCGCGTGGTTGCGAGGCAGCGGGAATGCTCGAGCGATAAGACGCGGGAGGAGAAGCTGGATCGGCAAGATAAGGGGAAATGGACGAAAGATGGGATCAGATAGGACACCGGGATACAGGACTCCTTGACCCGACTGGCATGGCGATCCGTCTGATAAATCCCGAACGTGTCCATTCCGCTTCGTGTTCTGCGTTCCTAGGCGACGTTTGCCCACGCTCGGCCCTCGTGAGAGTGAATTTAATTGACTGAAGTGCCGAGCCGAATCGCGGGCACGAGGATCGCGAACGCGCGACCTCCTTAACTCGCCGGCACAACACATGGAAGCAGAGACGCGTTTCATTTCGGTCCAATTCTGGCCGCGTTCGTTTGTCATCTCGAGAGCGCCCACGGTTAGCTACGTTCGATCCCGCATGAATTTTGATTACGGGAGTGTAATGGTCCGATCATGATCAGAATAATCTCGACGGACGCGCGTTCGTCGTGGCTAACGTTTCTCGTGTTTCCAGGTGTTGCGCGGAGATCCGGAACCGAATCCCACCTATCAACATCGCGACGAGACTCCGAGCGGAACTCCGTGTGGATCGTCGCGCTGACAGACTTTCAATTGTTTCTTCCTTGATCGGATTGGATGCGATTGTCAGAGCTGCTGTCACGCCTGCCGCAAAGCGTATCGATAGAACATTTCTGGGAGTTTTGAAATCGTGAGGCGGATGGTTGTTCGTCGGACTGACGGGGGCTTGGGTGCGGGCATGGTAACACTTCCGTCTTGCTCGCGGAGGAACGGCGCGGAAAGAAAACCGAGCTTGGCGGGACGCTGTCGCGGTACGCTTCGTTCGCAAGTACGATCGATAAAATCTGACAAATTACACAACGATACAATTACATTAGATACAATCGGGCCTGGTCGCCGACGATTCCGCGAACTCGGCTCGCTCGGCGTCGGCACGTGCGGCTATCATCGGAGCCGAGTTCGAGGATCGTCGCGTTTTGAAATCGGAGACAAGCTTCGGAGACGCATTGATGCTCACGCGCGCATCGTCGTACAATAAGACGAGAAAGTTTTGAATCGAGGACAATGCGATAAGTGCGGTCTCTGAGCCGTGGACCGCCTCCTCTACGTTTCCTTTCCTTTTAAACGTCTGCGGGTCCTCGGCCATCGTCGTAAGCATAGGAGTAACCGTCGAGGATCGGAAGATCGATCTCCTTTCCGCGATTTTCTCGCCTTTGATCGCGGTGAACCCAGAAAGATTCAATTTTTCTCTAATCTTCTCAACGCGGGCGACTTTGCGGCCCTTTGTCGCCGCGGCACGGCGGGGAAAACGTAATCTTCGCGGCGATATGAATTTAACCGACCGCCATATTAAAATGGAAATAAGACGTCGCGCGAGTCTCTCTCTCTCTCTTTCTCTCTCTTGCTCGGCCGGAATTGAATAAATTCCCGCTGACTCGAAAAGTGAGTTCTCCGGCGACGGGAAGATCATTCTGCGGGGATAATTACGGCCGAGGTGCTATTTGTTAGCTTTATCTCGCGAGTTACGTTTCCTCGGGCACCTCGGGGAAACCCCGAGTCCGACCCACAAACTATGATTAGGATATCGTTAGCGCGACACCGCGGACTATTATTCTTTTGCGATTAGAATATCAGTGCGTTAACGTATTTCGTTTGCCGAGCAAGAGGGCAACAAGCTTAAAGCAGAAATTATGGGCGACGTTACGGCGGCGAGTTGCAACACATAGCAGATAGGATAATTATATCCGAAATAGTGGCGCGAACTGTTACGCGATATCTTAACGCGGCTCGCTGGAAACACGTTGAAGTTCCAAGGGTAATGCATATTTAGGCGGGCAACCGAGGAGTCGAGGGACATAACGAAAATGGCGGCCGACCGATCGTTCGCGGCGAACGGAAAGGAGACTTGACCGTGCCGATCCTCGTCAGATCACACTATGCTTTGCACACGTATATAGGCACAACTCTCGTAATCTTCTTTCGTAAATCTTCAACAGTTTAGTACAGTTATATACAAAGTATACAGACTCCGCTACATCAGAGGAGGGATAAAACTTTCATGCAGTGTATTCGTGTCCCGCGGTGCGCTGGCGCATTAACATCACCGATGGGAGGCATGATTTATCGCTGAAGTGTCCACTTTGTTGACTCGGTGCCTCCTCTTTGTAACACTTGAGACGATATCGGATCGATACAAATTCGTTCGAGTACCGAAGATGACTGAGTGGGCGAAACATAAACTTGTAGTCAATCGCTTACGTATACTACGGCGCTCGGTGTTGCGCTGGAGATTAATCTTTATAGTACGATATCAAACAAGATGGTTTCAGATAAATCGCCCGTTGATTAATTTCTGTTTGCGGTATTTCTACTATGTCTGATAACAAGATTTGCGTTTCAAAGAAAAATACGATCGCGTAGCACGATTACGCGTAGATCGGATGTTTACTTTCGCTTTAGATAGAACAGTATTTGGACTCTGTGTCGAAGTTCCGTGATATTACCTCGAAACGTTCTGTCTGAAGTTTAATAGTAGATAACGCAGAAAGAATTGAAATAACGAGTCATGAAAAATTCAATAAAATCAGAGACACTTTGAAACAATTTAATCGAGATGTACGATTCTAGGATGGATGGGTGTCATCAGCTTCCAGCATCGAATGCTTGCAGCCAGCCACCGCGGGACTCGACGAGTCTCGCGTGATACAGGTGCGCACGAATCACCTGCGGGCACACGTGTGCCGTACACGACGAAGACGACGACGACGACGACGACTTATGGTGGTCAATTAAACCACCGCGTACACGGTTCTGGACTGACGGTGCCGTATCGATCGTTAGCTACCGATGTGGCGGACCTGCACACTGGCGTCGCACGTATTGCGCCCGTACACGTGTCGCAGTGTGTGGCGTCGCTCGTGAGTACGATTAGAGAGAAACGGAGAAAGGTAACGCTAGAAGGACCGCTCTCTCGGAACGGGAACGGAGCCTTTAACGGGACGCCATGTTGGAATCTCTGAAACGCGTTGGAGGACCGTTGAGAGGATACTCCCGAGTACTTCGACCCTTTCAGTTAAGATGCTTGTCGCACTGTCGCACTCAATCATTTCCGAGACTTCTTCTACTCGTGTCCTGCATTTTAAATCGCGAGTCCGATTCGTTCGTAACGAACATCAATTGTAGATGAAGCAACTTATACGCTCGCGTAATCGGTCTTAACGACCTTCCCTTAAAATATACTTCTACGAGGCTAGAAGGAATCCTTTGTTGTCGGTTGCGAAAGGATAAATGTCAAAGATTCCGGCAATGTTTCCAGTATTCGAGTCGATTCGTCTCCGTGAACAGGGCCACGCAGTCATTCGGAAAGGGTTTCGCGATTGCATCGGCACGTTGCATCGCGGTGATCGATACCGGGAGGAGGATGGGCTCGAGTTGTAGAAATCTCACAGTGTCGAATGTCGGAATTGAGTTGTACAGTTGCTTCTCGAAACGAGACAAAGATTGATTTTGTTATTTTCAGGTAAACGCGCGCGCGCAGTTAGCGTACGAGACGCGGACCAGCGGTTCCTGAACTTACCTTCGCTCGAATCACTTCACGGCGAATCGATTCAGCGGGGAAACGGGGGAACGTAAACGTGGAGAGCCGCGTGTATACACCTCTAAATAAAACATTCTTGGAGAGCTCGAGCTTCTCGAAGATTAGACAAGATAGGATCCTCTCGCGAACAGCTTCTTCGAGATCGAAGTGGGAAAGGGTCCCTCGAATACTAAGAAAACAAGATGCAGAGGAATTCGGGAGCAGCTGGAGGATCGAGAAACCAGGAAATGGGATGCGGGATTTTTCGAAGAAGTTCTGAAGATTCTTCGAGGGGCTCTCGGGAAGCTGCGGGTCAAGGTTCGCGAGACGTTCAGGAGCCTCTGGTACAGATTCGTGTCCCGATTTCGCTTCGACGAAATGAAGTGTTAATTGGTGCGCTTCCGTCGGGCGAACGAGTCAGGGGAAAAAAGAGAATCTCGACGGGCGGTCCGTACGGTAGCCAGACAGCGAGACTAAAGTTAACATCGAAACGTCGATCCCGGAGTGCTCGGCGGTATGGGACGAGCAGGAAATTAGGTGACAAGCATCGCGACCCTAAGGTTCAAAGCGCAATATCGTTCCGAGGCCCTGCGCGTGTTCACACGGCGGAGAACGTCGTCTGGTTCTCGCCGGGTAAAACAAGTGAAGCTACCTTCGACGAGCAATAAATTGGCTGGCTCTTCGATCTAGGTCTTACACGTGACGCGCCGTTCGTGTCTCTATGGTCTGCACGGGGGATATTTATTAATTTCGTTGTATCCGACCGCGTCTATTTCGTTCCTTTGAAACTTCCATCTCAAGACAGGGGTAGTATCACGAACAGGCTATCCTGGACTTTATGTAATTATGATAGAGTTCTTTAGCCTCAATTCAAACTCGATACTGCGAATAATGCTTCGCAACAGGCGTTGCTAAAGTTAATAGCGATACTTTCCAACAGCTATTGAACGCATGTTCATTTCAATGTAATTCATTATTTACGTTCCCGTAAGTTTCATCGTGTACGTTTTGTTTCAAGGGCGTTGAATTCGTCGTTCATGGAAAGAAATATTCATCGGGCTTCGTAATATGGGTAACTGTCGCTGATTAGA